ACATACAAACTAGGTTTCTGGGACAGTCTCACTTCCAGACACTGATCAGAAGAACAGCTTTAGCAAAGGTGTTATCTGAACAAATCGCAGTCCTGGGTCAAATTTAGCTGTTTGTCTAGCACAGTGGTTCTCAACCTGTGGGTCGGGACCCCATTTGGGGTCGAACGACCATTTCACGGGGGTCGCCAAACAAGGCTGTCCACCATTTTTCCCCCCTTTTCTTTGGTCACGCCCCTGGCACCCGGTGATGTATAAGTGGTTGGGGGTCACCACAACATGGGGAACTGTATTATGGGGTCGCGGCATTAGAAAGGTTGAGAACCACTGGTCTAGCACAACTACCCCACACATTATGGCTCCAAAGGCTGCTTGTGAGTTGAACTTTCACACCCTTCCTAATTGCAATTCATCCCATGTTCCTCCCCCCAAAGTAGTTAGTTCAGATTTTGAGAACTTTTTAAAAACTACAATAATCAGTACTGCTCATGTGTGTTTGACCTGCTAATTACTTTATATTAATGCAAGTAAAAGAAGATCCAATCTTCACCCTCCATCAGAAAATGAGAACCTTCCCAATCTTTCGGTGTTTGCAGAGATATCACTCCTTAAAACAACTGTTGTGCAAATATGAAGAAAGCTGGGGAGGAAACAGCCAGCTGTTTTGATTCAAGGACACAAAGAGTTCAAGAAAACAGACCTTGCTACCTTCAGCCTTCCTGCCACTTTTCTTAACCTTTAATCACTATCTCAAAATCAGTTTAGCTGAACTGAAGACAGGATAGATAAAATCTTGTAAAAACAAACACATAAGCAAAGAGGAGGGAGGAGGGAGAGATCACTCAATCTGGATTTGGATTAAAAAAATCATTCCTAGCCCTCCATAATATTAAACAGGTCTTTGTGGTTTAATTTAAAAATGATTTTTTTAAAAAAAAATTGGGCCCAATTTAATGATATTATCAGCTTGCTCACAAAGCACACTATGGTATAGAACAACTAACTACATTTTATTGAGTTGAGTCATAAGAAAGTAAACCAACATAGTACTTGGGCATGGTAGAGGAATCAACCTATCAGCAACCTAGACATGAATCAATGATATTATTTACCGGTAGTTCCCATGACTAATTCTTGAGGAACTAGCAGTTGACTTTACCTCTAGCAACTAAAAAGGAGAAAATAAGTTAAGTATACTGTTTTATTGCTGCTTTCCTCAGGCAGAATTATTAGGTTATCTTTTTTGTCCCTGAGTTGTACAAAGTCCTATGAGGAACATATGAAAAAGGTTGCAGGAATGGATATGTCTAGCCTAGTGGACTAGGGGTGACATGATAACAGGGTTCCAATATTTGAGGGGCTGCCACAAAGAAGAGGGGGTCAAGCTATTCTCCAAAGCACCTGAAGGTAGAACAAGAAGCAACGGTTGGAAACTAACCATGGAGAGAAGCAACCTGGAACTAAGGAGAAATTTCCTGACAGAACAATTACTTCTCGTCCTTCCCTCTGGTGCTTTGGAGGATAATGTGACCCCCCTCTTCTTTGTAGCAGCCCCTCAGATACTGGAATACTGCTATCATGTCTCCCCTATTTCTTCTTTTCTTTAGACTGGCCAAACCCAAGTCCCGTAGCTGTTCTTCGTATGTTTTAGTCTCCAGGCCTTTGATCATCTTAGTTGCTCTTCTCTGATTTTTTTCCAAACTTTCAACCTCTTTTTTGTGATATGGTGACCAAAATTGGCTGCAGTATTCCAGGTGTGGTTTTACTAGGGTTTCATAAAGCGGTACTAATACCTTGCCTGATCTTGATTCTATTCCTCTGTTTATACAACCCAGGATTGTATTAGGTTTTTTGGGCTGCTGCTGCACACTGCTGGCACATAGTCAAGTGAGTCAAGTTGAGCTAGGTTTTGCTAGGGTGCTCACAGCTAATCTACCCACAGAAACGTGCCTTGTAGTGGCTTAAACTGTGTAGATGTACATTTGACTTAAAATATAATAGAAGTAAAAGCTCTAGGGATTAGGGGAGGGACAATATTATGGTATTATGTAAAGATTTATGTAGCTCTCTAGATTAATCTGGTCCACTCATACCCAAAGCGCTGTTATTGTTTTTAGCACAAAGCTTTCTGTTTTTGGAAACACTATATTTCATAACAGCAATTCTTAATATAGCATAATAAACTTTGTTCAAATCAAGGTGGCACCAGAATGCTTACAATGCTATCTAGATACCAAATCTAGATTATGAATATCCAGTGTGTCATTGAATTGCTGTGTCTTTCAGTCCCTCCTATTAAGTCATGCACCATTGAGTTATTATGTTCAAACTGTTTAGCAACATTCCAGTTAAAATCTTTACACTTATTCCATAATGAAACATTTTGGTTTATTTACTCTGGGGAAGAAAACAAAATCTTTTTGAGCAGCTACACAGTTGCTTAGATGTTTCAACATCAGCCACAATGAGCTAGGTGCTATTTTACTTGCTTTAATGCTAAAATTGTGCTATCTCACATGTATCAACAAAATGGGTTACAGTTAGTCCTCAACTTACAACAGTTCATTTAGTGACTGTTACAATGGCACTGAAAGAAGTGGCTTATGACCGTTTTTCACACTTACGACCATTGCCGCATTCCCATGGTCCTGCGAACATAATTCAAATGCTTGGCAAACTGACTCATATTTATGACGGTTGCAGTGGGCCGGGGTCATGTGATCACCTTTTGGGAGCTTCTGACAAGCAAAGTCAATGGGGAAGCCAGTTTCATTTTACAGCCCTGTTACTAAATTAACAAGTGAAGCGATCCACTTAACAAATATGGCAAGACAGGTCGTAAAATGGGGCAAAGCAAACAAATGTCTCAACAACAACAATTTTGGGTTCAATTGTGGTCGTAGGTCAAGGACTGCCTACACTTAAGTTTTCATTCCCTGCAAATAATGGTCACTATCTGCTGCTCTATAGTTGATCTAAATAGCAATTTGTTCCTGCAAATTCACGGGATATGGAGACCAGCAATAGCAATAGCACTTAGACTTATATACCGCTTCATAGTGCTTTACAGTCCTCTCTAAACAGTTTACAGAGTCAGCATCTTGCCTCCAACAACCTGGGTCCTCGTCAATTTAGTTCTAGTATCACTAGAGATCTTTCATTGTGACTTTTCTGAATAGTAGGGGCCAAAGGCACAGGATTTGCCCAATCAGTAATTGTCAGTTTCGCTGTTGCTAAATTAGGGGACTGGAGGTTAAAACATATAAGGAACAGTTGCTGGAATTGAGTATGTCTGCTTTAATGAAGAGAAGGACAAGGGAGGACAGGATAGCAGTCTTCCAATATCTCAGGGGCTTCCATAAAGAAGAGGGAGTCAAGCTATTTTCCAAGGCATCTGAAGGCAGGACAAGAAGCAACAGATGGAAACTAATCAAAGAGAGAAGCAACCTAGAACTAAGGAGAAACTTCCTGAAAGTTAGAACAATTAACCAGTGGAACAACCTGCCTCCAGAAGCGGTGAATGCTCCAACACTGGAAGTTTTTAAGAAGAGACTGGACAACCATTTGTCTGAAATAGTATAGGGTTTCCTGCCTGAGCAGGGGGTTGGACTAGAAGACCTCCAAGGTCCCTTCCAACATTATTGTTGTTGTTATTTCAGAAGAATCTAACCACATAGCCTAACCAGGAATCATTGAATTGTCTAGGTCACATAAGCAAAAGTATTTATTTCTAATGCAAGCTTCCTGATGAGCAACAGAAATATTGCAAATCCATGTCCTAGTTTCAAGTTCTTGGAATTACCTAGCAGCCACCCAAGTTTGCTTTCAGCCCAGTCTTCAATTACCTTGCCCCCAAACCTTGCTCCAAAAGGAGAGGTGCTATTTCCCCAATGCGCAGTTCAGTTCTGGCAGAAGACTAATAACCAGCTTGACAGGTTCCAACAGGCTGGGAGAGCAGCCGAGGCAGGAGGAATTGCCCAGATGGCAGAACAGATCTGGTCAGGTTTATAGCATTTCCCTCATGAATTTTCAGGAAAAAGGCAAAGATTGCAGATTTAAAAAGCCGCTAGAACAGTGGTTCTCAACCTTTTTAATGCCGCGACCCCCAACCAGTCGTAAGTCGAGGACTACTCAACTGGTGCAGCACCATTTGCAGAATGGGACTTTTGGCGGGCTCAGCAGGGCAGAGACAGCCTGGACAATTCCTATTGGCTTTTGAAAGCAATAGAATTAGACTCTATTCAAGAGAGTCTATTCTATTGGCTTTCAAAAGCCAATAGAATAAAAGGGAGTAGCACAGCTAAGGAAAAGGGGGAAAAAATGGCGGACTGCGTTGTTTGGCGACCGCCGTGAAATGGTCGTTCGACCCCAAATGGGGTCCCGACCCACAGGTTGAGAACCACTGTGCTAGAAAGCCAGTTAGTAACTCCCACTGACATTTTTTTTGCTGAAGGAAGTCCACCCAAGGGAAGCTGGAAGTTAAACCCTAAACTTTCTCTGCAGCTAAATAAAAAGTTACGGTGTGTTGTGCTATCTAGGAATATAAAACAAAATATTAAATCAAGGAGTAAAGCTGGGACCTTGAGCAACTCCATACAATGTTGGACGAAAACCCCCAACGTCTTTCATCCTTGGTTGTGCTGGTTGATGTATTGGGAGCTTGAATGGAACAATATCTGGAAGACCACAGGGTGCACACACAAACCCCTGATTTGTTGAAAAGAGGGAGGGAGGGAGAGAGGGAAAGGGGTCTTACAGATAGTCCTCATTTAGCAACTGTTCAAAGTTATAACGGATCTCCCCAGAGCTACTTAATGACCCGTTCTGAAGTTCTGACAGCTACACACACACACACACACACCCTGCAGTCCCATGATTGCATTTTGGGTGCATGCATTTACAAGATTTACAACATCCTGCAGGAGTAGACTTTTGTGAGAAACAAAAGAACCAGCTAATACAAGTTGAACATGGTTGTTCAGCGTGCAAATTTATTTACTTACGTATCAATGAAACTTATGTAGCCGGGTCTTTTCAAATGAAAAACCTGGCACCCAAAAAGCAAAGTGCATTTTCAAGAAAAGTGTCTTCCGACATTGTGGAATGTGACAATACACACGAAGGCTCCCTCTGTGTCTTCTGCCAGCTCTGGGATGCTGTGGAAATTTGTCCTTCAAACACTTTTTAAGTTTAACCAAGTGCTCCATTTCAGAAAGAGCTGAACAAAGTCTTAGGGTATGACGTATTCTGTGAAATCGGAGGAATTGAACCTTGATACTGAAAGATCAAAATCAGCATTTTGCTGTGTACAAGATCCAATGGTTGAGTAAGATTCTTCATAAAAATCAAGTTGATAAAAGCTGGCCTCTTTTTTTATGGTCACAGAACTGAATACAGTTGAGCCACAGCTGAGCCCAAAATTTTGGTGGTAAGCAAGGCAGCTGTTGAGTCAGTTTTGTCGTGGTTGTTAAATGAATCACTGCAGCTGTTAAATGGATTGTGCAATTGTTAAGCGAATCTGGCTTCCCCCATTGATTTTGCTTGTTGGGAAGGTTACAAAAGATGATCATAAAACCCCGTGATCCTGCAACCGTCATAAAATACACGCCAGTTGCCAAGCACACGAATTTTGATCACATGAATCATTTTAGATCAAGGACTTCTTGTAACCTGTAATGTGGTCTCCATCTGTCACCCAGTCACAAAGTCACCACTTTTCAATCACCTGTAGTAAGAGGGAAACAAAAGATGTACCACCTCTTGAAGAATATAAGAGTCATATTTGGCTTTCACTGTTTAACTGCCTTTCTGTGTGCAGAAACCAAAACTTGGGGGTTCAGTTTTAACAGATATCCCCTTACTATCTCTATCACAATTCTCAAATTATACCCTGGTTACAGAAGTTGTCTGAAGTCATTAAACAACAGACTTCCTGTCTATTATCCTGCAATTAGGAGAAGCTAAAAAGGCAAAAAGGAAGTGTGTAATGCAAACAAATTCAGCCACCCACCCCTGCTCGGCAATACAATCCAGCAAAGAGTCATTTTTTATTTTGCTTCAATTAGTTGAGTTAATGTTTAATTTTTACCCCCTTTCATTAACAATCTTGGGTTGATACAATGCTGAGTGACTCCAGAAAGCAAGTGTTTCAGTAAGAGCTGTACAGCTTCAGCAGACTAAAAAAAAAAAAAAAAGCATTTAGTTCATCATCTCAGTTTCAAATATTGCTTCAACCACATGCTTCCAGAAGTACCATGAGGGCAAGCAGAATCTTAATAAAGATATTACTATTATTATTATTATTATTATTATTATTATTATTATTATTTCAGACAAATGACTGTCCAGTCTCATTTAGTGATGAAGCACCTACAATTTCTGAAGGCGAGCCATTCCATTGGTTGATTGCCAGCAACCGGTCGACACAAACAAGCAAAGCCCCATCCGTGGGATGCAGGCAGCACACAAAACCACGCACCCTCTGGTCCGTGGAAAAACCTCTCTCCACGGAACCGGTCCCTGGTGCCCAAAATGTTGGGGACCTTTGTCGTAAAATGTCAGAATTCCATGGAGCATGTCTGCACTTGGAACCAAGAGCATGATCAAATGAAACATTACCAACAAACCATCAAGTGCTCTACAATCTTTCAGAAAACAGCTTGGCACAGCGCAATTTTACTTCTAGAAACTCTGACAACAATACCTTGGGTGAAAAGGCTGCACCACCATCCCTGCAGAGGCCAAAAGTCATAATTTTGTCACCAGTAGCTTGCAAAGCTGGATGAAGGTAATGCAACGCCAAGCATTTGCACACCCAGCAGGTTTGAAAAGTGCTTAGGCGTGTAGCAGACACATTGCCAATGGGGAGGAAAGAAAATTATTATCATCGGGTTGTTATCTGCAGAATACAGGCCAAGAGCCACAGTGAAATGTTGCCTGGACTCAAGAGCACGCAAGGTGACAAATCTCCCGAGCTCAACTCTTGTGTCCTCAAATTTGTTAGTGAGGCAGGTTTTAGCAACCATCCCATATCCACCATCCCATGGTGTTCCACCTTCTAGAGCTGGATCAGTTTGAGTAAATTAAACAGCATTTCAAAGCCACTGTTAGGTTATTTTTTAAAATTGTATTTTAAAATACAATTCAATTCTAACCACTGGTGGCGCAGTGGTTAGAATGCAGCACTGCAAGCTAATTCTGCTGATTGACGGCTGCCAGCGGTTCGATTCTCAACGGCTTCAAGATTGACTCAGCCTTCCATCCTTCCGAGGTCGGTAAAATGAGGACCCAGATTGTTGGGGGCAATAGGCTGACTCTGTATCTGCGTTATCTCCTGTATCCAATCTCTTATTCGTTCCCAATAATTTTTTGCTTTGGGGCACAACCACCACATGTGGATTTTAAACCAGAATTATTTCTTTTGGGCATAATAAACTTAAAGATGAAAAAACAACTCCAACATATCATTATACACATATTGACTGCAGCTCGTATAGCATATGCTCAATGTTGGAAGAGTGAAAATATTCCCACAAATGATATGATTATGTACAAAATCTTGGAATGCGCAGAAATGAATAAACTTACGTTAGAATTAAAAGACAAGAGGCGACAGAATTTTATGAAATTTGGAATAAATGTTATAATTGGCTAGAACAGAGAAAGGAAAAGACATAATTATTGATGTACATAAAATGTAAATAAGATGTAAAGAATGCTTAAAATGTAGAGTACTGTTCTGTTAAAAGAAAAGATTTATGCTTATGTATTTTAAGTTTGTTTGGGTGTATGGTGTATGGTGAAAAATAATTAAAAAATTAAAAATATATATAAAAAAATTAGGCTGACTTTGTAAACCACTTAGAGCAGTGGTTCTCAACCTGTGGGTTGGGACCCCATTTGGGGTCAAACGACCATTTCACAGGGGTCGCCAAACAAGGCTGTCTGCCATTTTTCCCCCTTTTCTTTGGCCACGTCCCTGGCACCCAGTGATGTATAAGTGGTTGGGGGTCACCACAACATGGGGAACTGTATTATGGGGTCGCGGCATTAGAAAGGTTGAGAACCTCTGACTTAGAGAGGGCTGTAAAGCACTGTGAAGCGGTATATAAGTCTAAGTGCTATTGCTATTTTTTACAAATAACCCAAGGCGGTGAACATATCCAACACACTTTCTACCTCCTACTTTCCCCACAACAACCCAGTGAGGTCAACTAGACTGTGAGGGAGTGACTGGCCCACAGTCCCCCAGCTGTCTTTCATGGCTAAGGTGGGACTTGAACTCACAGTCTGTTACTTTCTAGCCTGATGCCTTAATCGCTGCACCCAAATGAAACTTCCTCACTGAATCTGAAACATGAAGCAACTAAGTTAACACTTTAAGACAAAAGTCCCAGTTCTGCAATTCTGCCCCCCAATAAACAGAAAGTCCAAATACAGGTTTAAATCTAACACAGGGATCCATTTAGCTACAGTGGGACCAACCCTGATATTAGCGTCCATCATACCATTTCCTCTTATTTTTTAAAAATGTTTTATTTCCAGTAGTTTGGGGGCTGGTTATGTAAATGATATCCTACTGTACAATGTCCATTTCCTTTAAAATATTTTCAGGGTTTTATAACGATGCAAAAAAGAAAAAAGAACTGTTTTTTTTAAATATTTTATGTTTTGTTGTCAAAAGGCATCCATCACCGTCCACAATAAAGTTATATGTAGAATAACCAACGAATTGTGGCAATTGGGAAATCTGAAAGATCATGTAAGAAAAATAAATATGACAAGAGCCTCTGAGTTGTGAGAACAAATGATTTGAAAAGAGGGCAGGAAAATGGATTTCAAAGTTTAGAGGCATTTTGACCTTGACTGAGCAAAATATCATCCAACCAGTCAAGCAGATTCCACTTTAGCCCGGAAAGCTTGTGAAAATATTAACTAGGTAAAGGTGGTTGCTAAGCATTTTCTCTTTAAACCCTGAAAGGGACAAAGCTGATTTGGTGGCAGAGTTCCAAAAGGGAACGCTGCATAAGGTTTAAATGGAAACTAACAAAATTTCCATAAAGAAACAATGTGCGGAATGAAAGGGCGTATGATACGGAACATAAAATGTGTTGAACACTTCACAAAAGAAAATTATTAGCCAAGATTTTAAGTGCAGGGAAGAAGAAAAGTTGATGAATTATAGAACATCAGCAACTGGGGGGTGGGAGGTGGGGCAAGAAAGAAATGAAAAGATATCTAGGATATTATTTGAAAGCACTAAAGATCAAAATTGTTAGAAGGAAAAGGCATGAATATAAAGTTGGTTTATCTGATCAAGCTGAAATGCGTATTTGTTAGCTGGTATCCCTTACTGGATTATTGTTGATAGCAGGACTCAAATGACAAAGTTTATGGATTTGTTTATAAATAGAAGATGGGATAAAAGATAAATAAAAGATGGGATAAAAGATAAATAAAAGATGGGACTTTTGAGAGAGTGATCAGTTACTAAAATGTTTACATGTGTGATGAAAATGGGAAATCAATTCTTTCTATATGTCTTTTCTTTTCCTTTTCTCTTTCTTTTCTGCACCTTCTTTTTCTTGTTATCCTTGTAATTTTTTCAGCTTGCATTAGCTTTTATTGTTGTAATTAGAATTCTTAATAAAATTACTGTATTTAAAAAAAAAGATTGCAGTGATTTGTGTGAATGTATGTGGGGAACACAGAATCAAGGTTCTATGTATAGAGTATTCAGAGGGGCCCTTGGCAATTTGGGGTTAAGATTGTCCTGGATTTTAGCCAGGCATGTTTGTGTATTCAACCAGGGCAGTTTGCAAAACACGGCATTTCACATAAACTTAGATAATACAAGACAGTTGTTAAAACTGGTTCCAAGCAATTGAAAATAAATCTCCACACTTTCCATCATTCTGCAGGACCGCTAAAATCAGGGAAGGAATCAACAACTGCATTTAAAACCCCTATTTCCATAACCTATCAAGTTACAGTTTACATTTGCAAAAAAACAAGCCAAGACTGTTTATTCTCATATAAATAAATAGATTGGATTGCACACTTTTACTAAAAACTGGGGAGGTATGGTTTTTTTTAATAATGTTATTGAGGGAAAATTATGCTTGCATTCCACAATTTAGGTAGAGACATGGACAGATAGATTTAAAAAATCATGCCAAGCAATCAAATCAGCAGATGTGAATTCTATAAATGCCCTAATTTCAAACTCTATGCGTGTGCTACTGAGGTGCCGTACTGAGAAATTCTTTCTGCTGGCACTTGGTCAGTACTTTCTTATCATTAACTAAAGAACATAAAGGTAAGATCTCTGGCTTCTAAAGCAACCTAAAGGTTAATTCCAGGGAAGGAATGCAGCTAAGTATTATTTAATAAAACTAATGGACTCACAAGAGCTAAGGCTGAATTTCTAAGGCAGCTTTGCAAATAAGCTACCCAGAGATCCTAGTTAAGGTTGCCAATGTTTTTGCTTGCCTGCTCAACTGAAGCACAGGGACTGTCTCTTCACAAGGACTGTGAATGATGAGGCGTCCTTCTTCCAACAGCACAGCGTCATTCTATTACAGCGGGTCTTCAAACGTGGCCCTTTTATGACTTGTGGCATGCCTGGCTGAGGAATTCTGGGAGTTGAAGTCCACAAGTCATAAAAGGGCCACGTTTGAAGACCCCTGCTCTAAAAGAAGGTTGTGCACACATGATACATCACCCACAATTAACCTAACTATGGTTTATTCCATTTAATTGTGTTTTTCCCAGTTCAGCCAACAATGTGGACCAGTGGGTCCTAGCCACAGCCTAACAAAGGTGTCACCTGCTCATTCACCTGCACATAACCCCTGGTTACTTTTTGCAATCAGGGCAATGCTTAAAGTTAAGGCAGATTTAACTGTTTCAACACAATGCTCTGTATCAACACTGATTAAGATAAAGGACAGGTGCACCACCTTTCTTTCTTTCTTTTTTATTTATTTCCACAAGGGCAAGTAAACAATGGAGGAATCTGAGGACACAGCCTGCCCGATTTCTGTAGCCAACTCAGCCAGCAGACTGCTGCAAAAAGAAAAACTAACACACCGTGAATAACTGCCCAATCTTTGTTTCCCAGCACCACACCGCTTTTAAAGTTACCCTAAATGGAAAGGATTCCTCAAAAAAAGAGGTCCACTTTGATGAAAGTGAAATCTGAAGCACTTCTTCAAAATCCCTCACAAAGATTGCGTAGCCCTAGCGGAAATGGTCAGGTGCATGCATGCAACAAACTTTCTAGGGAAGAAGGCTTCCAATCTGTGGTCATTAGTTTCTATTTTGACTTTTTTGATCACCACCCTCTTCTGCAGATGCCTCTATGAACTATACAGTAGGCATCACCAGCATAGGTTCAGGAGCCCCAGAAAACCAGTGTCCCATGTGCAGCCTATGCAAAAGGAGTAGGTTTTACTACAACAACAAAAACATCCAAATATCAGTGACATTATTCCCAGCTTTCCATTTTTTTCCAGTCTAATGGAACATTTTTCCAGTCTAATGGAACATTTTTCCAGTCTAATGGAACTTCTAAGCTTCTTAGAAGTCCAGTCTGTTCGTTTGTGGATGACTTTCTGGAAATTGAACGGAATAGGAGCAAATTCATTGGGAGTCCAGAGAGAGAAGCCAATAAAATAAAAAATTGGATTTTAAAAGATTGAAAGGTTAAAAAGATTTTTTTTTAATTTTTTAAAATATTTAAAAAGATAAAAAGAAGCATTAGTGTAATGTTTAACTTAATCTGTTGAATTGCTCTTTTTTGTTTTTTCATATATATGTATGTATGTATGCATGCATGCATGTATATAAAAGGAGAAGAGAATTTACTGTTTGTTTGTTTTTTTAGTGTCCAGCTTTTTTAGTGTCCATTTTCTCTCTTTTTTTTGTATACCAATTTTTTTTCATTGTTGTTAGTGCTGGACATATGGTTTTGCTCTTTATGTTTTGAACAAAATAAATATAATATGAAAAAAAAGCTATAAAGAAGCCTTGGGTATGGG